CCCCCCCCCCAACATCCCTCACCGTTACATCCGAATTTCCAAAAACCTGACCCCATTTATAGCGACTAACCGCAAGCAAAGACAGCCATTCTTCGGTACAGACAAGCTGAAGCCCATTTTTTAAACACTTACTTAACCTGGTACCATAGACTTATACTTCAGTATCCTAGACCGCGCTCTCTGACGCAATGCCCATTCGATATGGAGCGCTCAATTATTGTTCTTGTTATTCCATTCGGAACCAAGTTATGAAAGGGAAGGGGGGTGGGTGGGAAGGTTGTAAGCGAACTTCATTGAATTTAGCGGGACTGTTTTTGTTTTGTTTTGTTTTGTTGGGTTGTTTTGTTTGTTTTTTGTCCTTCATTTGAGCGACCATTGTGTACACTCGTTGAGCAAAGTTTTTGATCCCCCCCCCCCCAGGCAATGCCACTGGCTGAAGTGTCTCCAGGCCATTCCCAGAGGGTAAATATTAACATGTTCCTATGCACAATAGAATTATAAATGGGCTGACTTATCAATGTCATACTCATACTGTGCCCGAACAACATAAGGGGAACTGCTGCTTTTTCTTTCCTCATCCTTACTATCGTCATTTTCCCCCTCTACTTCTTTGTATGTTTGTCATTCTCGTGTGACCTGCTATTTCCCAAGTGCCTTGACAGTCGAAGCAGACTTTGTGCTGTTGAGACTAGAGAAGTGAGCAGAGAAAGCCTGATTCCTTGTAAGGACTTCTCTGTTGACATCCACACCTTGGTGCTCATAAGACCTAATGCAGTTGCGAGCGCCGTTCAACTTTACTAAAACTAACTTTAAAAACATTGAAGTAGCTGGTTTCGTGTTATCTTTAGTACGAGTTTTACATCACTTGCAACGAAATAATGTCTAATAAATGCCGAAGATTAGGGGAGTTACAAAAGAGTAACAAACACAACATAAAAAAGAGGAGGTTTGATAAGGACGATAATATATTTGACCGGAAAGAAGTAGCAAACCACACCTGAACACCCGCCAACCAACTGACTGCAACGCGAAGAATGACGGGTATGACAGTACGTGAGCTAGAATTGGAAGTAACCACACACACACACATACACACACACACACACACACACACATACACATACACACATACACACACATACACACACACACACATACACACACACACACAGATTGAGAGAGAGACAGACAGACAGATAGACAGACGGACAGACAGACAGAGAGAGAGACAGACAGACAGACAGACACAGACAGACACAGACAGAGAGAGAGAGAGAGAGAGAGAGAGAGAGAAAGAGA